TGCATTCTGGGAAAAGTATGCCCCCCTCTAAATCAATGGCATCAGTAATTATTTCTGTATGGCACATTTCATGGCTTCCTCGTTATCATGGTGCGCCCTTGCGCGGCTAAGTGACCTCGTCATTCTGCAGGTTAATGAGTTGGCGGGATTATTCACCACCATGTGAGATCAGCCAGTTGGGAGGAACTGCAGTCAAGGGAGGCCAGATGACAAGCCCCTGGAATGAAATCCTGTCATGTGGTGCTGGAGGCATGACCTCCTGGGCTGTGAGGCACACAGACAGGCTAGTCCTATGAATATGAATATACTGAGCTACTGCCCATTATGAGTGCATATAGAGACAGGGAACTCCTTCAGCTGCTATATACAGTACTGTGCTGAAGTCAGACATAGAGAATGCTTAAAGCTATTTATCTGGGTAGAAAGTGTATATTTCCTCAGAAAAAAACACATTTCAACATTAGAACATGGGCAAAATATTTTTTTCTGTTCTCAAAAAGGTTACTGATATCTTGTTGGATGGCTAGATGAACATCACTTCAGGTCCTAAACCTCTCCTCAGGGGCACCTCAGCCATTCCATGTGTTTGTTAAGTCTCAGCACCAGCTCACTTAATCAATCAACTTATTTGTATAATTAAGTTGATGAGGTTTTCATTAGCAGAACCTGGAATGCTAGTGGTTCAGTCAACAAATACATGAGTAGATTGAATGGTTACTGCAAATATTGGGGTGAATTGAGAGTTTTTAAATGGATAAAGTATCACCATTTTAAAGGCATAAGATCAGTTTTATAGCAACAAGAAGATTATTTAAACATACTTTTCTATGCTTGCACATTTTCACTAGCCTGCTTTTTTCTGTTAGACAGTTTGGCGGCTGTGTATAACGTTTAACTCATATCAAACCCATAATAATGTGTATTTTTGAAGATTAAGCATGGATATATTTCATAATGTTGAGGTAAGAGATAATAACAAAATGATAAAAATATACAGACAATGTGGTCTGTTTGTTCATCTATAATGGTGGGCTCATTCTGACCCCACTGAAACAGCACATTACCTAAGTAACTTTAACATACACTCCCATCGAGTGAAACGACAGGAAACGGCACCGCTTTATCCTACAGGCTGTCGGGGCCCTCAGCCTGAGGCATGCGAGTGCCTACACAGCCCAAAGTAACAAACAAACAACAAAGAATGAAATAAATAAGGATTTTCTGGTAAGGGAAGGTTTTGAGATCCCCCAGTGCCTGTTTGACTCACACAGGATGGTGACTCCTGCTGGATTTGGGAACTTCTGTGTTTGGCTGTCGTTCCGCATTCTCCCACCCACATGCGAGCAGTCAGCCCTGCTCTCGCTGCTGAGTCTGTCTGTAGGTGTGTAGTACCTGATTTCATCACCTTTCTGGCATAAAACTGGATGTGGTTTCAGTGACCCTAAATTGAAGATCCCCTCAAACTAACAGGACATTCCTCACTAAACACTATCACAAGATTCAGCCCATTTCTCAGACCCGATGTCTGGACCAAGGGTATGTTCACCATGGAAAGGAAAAATCCAGCAATTTATATTTAACTCTGAATTTAGTCATCTACTTCTAAAGTAAACTCAGCCAATGCAGAGCATGTGCAGATAATACCAGCCTGCTATCACAATTGCAGAGGTTTGTTTTAAATAAATAAGATGATAATGGAGCTTTAGATAACCAAATCATTGCTTAAGGGTTTAAGGATTCTCTGCACTTAAATCTACAACAGCTTACACAGAGAAATCTATTTTCTATTATGAGCAGAAAACAGTTAATATTCTGCCCACGACGCTGACATTTCCTAACGTAATACAAGATGCTTAGGATTCATCCTGATATTTATCTGCTGTCTTAATTCATTTGTTTCGTCCTTTGAAACCAGCTCCATTTTTCTCCAAGAAAATGCCTGTTTGTCCCACTAATATCTGGCATCGCTTTATTTACAAACAATGCAACCATAAGTCTAGATAATCAATGGATGAATAAATATGAAAGGAGCCGTCACTGCATTTGGCAAAACGATATGTCAGCTGTTATCATTGTGATTCACAGACACCCACATACAGGGGCACCGCTAGAGATTTTGGGCCCCATGAAAGTATATTAAATTGCCCCCCAATCCAGACAGTCCAGTTATGTTCAAAAAAATTTAGGGCCCTTGTTGCTGTGTTCGATCACCAAGCTATGATGCACCATATGCTGCTTTTGTGGATAGATGGATGGATGTACCTTACATGTTACAGAAGTCTAAGGGCAGATGTCCACCATCTTAATCACCTCATCCATTCTTCTCTTCCTCCACCCTACCTCTAGCCTCATCCATTCATCTCCTCCACTCTACCTCCAGCTGCCATTTTATGTTGCTTGCAGCTCCACTTTGCTTATGATATATTTGTTCACATTAAAGTTAAATATGTTTCAGTTTGAAGTTAGATATTTCACTTGGCCTGTCTGAATCTAGTAAGGCAATTAATTCAACCGGTACTATTACTTTCACAGCATATAATGACTTTAAAGCATATGATAAAATAAGTTTTATGCTTTCTGCAGAACTATTACATTTTCTGGAACCTACAACTGGCAAAAAAATTAAAGAATCGGGATTTGTGGGTGTATGTTCAGAGCAGAATCCTGAGAAAGGTTTATATTACAAAATGCACATTTATAAGGGTCATGAAGAGCAATAAATGGTAAAATGGTCCTTGATGGAAGGTTAAATATGACCACAACAGCCAATGTATAATGGAAATATAAAATGAATATTTTGAAGTGAATTTCCATTATTATTAAGTAACAATCACAGCACATTACAGTGATTTAATTGAAATCAAAGTCAACTCACACAGATGTAAACATCGTCAGATTGGAACTGTGTGTATAATTAAAAATCCTAATTAGTTCCTCTACACTGTCCTGATAAATGCAGCATAGAGCAAACAGAAGCCCCACCCCCCTTCCATGAAGGGATTACAGTGTCGAAACATAATAATCCTCACAGATTCAATACGTATTTTTCATGGCTAGTTCTGGCAGTAAAGCAACCCCACGTTTCTATGGTTGTTTCTATTTGGACTTTACACTCCAAATATCTGATTTAGGAAAAGGCAATTTGTACTGAATGACAGAGGTTCCTGAAAGCACTTAGCAATAAGCTTTCAAGACAAAAACACAAGAGCAGACTCATGCTTCTACAGAGGTTCACTTTTTGATTTAATAAGGACTGTGTTCTGAATATTTTGCCCAAAGCTATCATTGAAGCAGGAAAAATACCAATATTGCGCTGGGGTCCAGCCGGGCCGGATTCACGGAGGCAGACGGCAAAAACGAAGACAGGAGATGTCTCTCGTCTGTGAAGGTCAGGCGGAGCCGACGCCTCAATCAGCCCCCTTCCATCATCTGCTTCCTCTCCTCCCCCCATCCTGCATCCCCCCCAGGCTCTCCGTCACCATGGCAGCCCGACAGGACATCAAGGCCCCGCCTTCAGCTCTCGCTCTTTGAATGGGACCTACCAGGGCCTGGAACGAATCCAAAGCGGAATGCGAGGAGAGCAAGTGCAGGGAGAAACGGAACATTTATGGTGCTGGCGAGCAGAAACAGAGAGCTCCCAGCTCCCAGCGTAACCTTGAGCCATCGAAAGGCATGAAAAAGCTTGGAATTTTTATATGCGCTGTAAAGTACTATTGTTGCATTGCTGAATGAAAAAAAAATTCGCATATTTCATGCACTATAAGCTCTGTCAGGGTCACGTTTTCCCATAGGGAATTCGCGTGGGTCTGTGAGATCTGTCCCTAATCTGACACCGCGAGAGACCCATGTGACGCCACATTGCTGTTCCCGTATGGCCGCGTGTCGGGTCGAGAGGCTGACGCGGGAATCTGCAGTGCGGTTACCGGGACCACAGGACTGGCAACCGGAAGCCACTCCAAGGGACACTCCAAGCAGTGGCTGGCCAGAGCTCAGCAGGGAACAGCGTAGCCAGTCACAAGGCCATCAAACACTCGCCGCGAGGACGCCAGACCATTAATTACCCTCCGAAAGGCAGGTGTGCGGAGCCTGTCGGATATGCTCCTATGTGATTGTGAAGTGTAAATCACAAGCAGTGAGGTGTAGACGCCCGCCAGCGCGCCATAGCTCCACAAAGCGGGACTCGAGGGGAAGCAAAGCTGTGTTTTCAGCCAGTAATAGGACGTCCTTAAATAAGGTGTGCAGTGTGACGCGAAGGCAGCAGCCCACCGGATTGGATCACACTCCCGGAGGATGTGCAGGCCATCAGGCGGGGACGTTTTCCCCCGTGAAACTGCATCTTAATTGCCATCTTCATGTATAAATCCCATCTGTCCTCTTAATATAGTGTATTGTTCTGAAGCCTTTGACCCCCCTGCCTTATATGGCAGGTTGTAGATGGCGATGGGGGAGGGGTGTAACTCATCTCGCTCATCCTAATGAGCGCCATCAAGGTATGCGGCTGACCGCCCCTCACCCTGCACCCATGAGTGATGTGGAAAGCGGGTTAACCATGAGTGACGTGGAAAGCGGGTTTAACCCGCTTTCCACATCACTCATGGGCAGGCTCCCAAATTCATACTCCATCAGTAAAATCCGGGCCAAAAACAAATGAATTGTCACTTTTATGGGAATATGAGCGCACCCCCCCCCCCCACCAATTTATCCTGACACTTGATATGGCCCAGTTCCAAACTCCTTAAGTAAATTAAGGTACTGCTATTAATGTAACTTGTGTTTAAAACATGCCAATGCCTGTAAAAACAAAGAAATGAAAATGAATAATGGTGCAGTGGCTAACTTCCCGGGCACTTAGCAGGGCCGCCAAACGCGCCTATATTTAACGCACTTCGGTGCGACGAGGCCTCATGAATACGCATCTCCAATCTATTGATGCTACCCAGTGATTCACTAGCCCCATGCTGCTTGTTTACAATGGAACAAATGCAGAATAAAGAATCCAGTTATTTTTGTACAGTTATATAACACTTATAATATCAAAAAAGCACTGCATAATCACATGCTGCACCACTACAAGATCAAACATGCAAAGGGATGTATTTTGCTATTATTGAGTATTATACTCCCTTTGCTGGTATACTACAAATATACAAGATAAGGTTTAAAACACCATTTAAAAGAGACACTAGATTCTTAAAGTGTTTAAGCTGGGATACTGGATGGTAATAGTACTACTGTTCTGGTCCTGATACTTTGTTAGCATTACTTATACTTTAATTATACATACTTTGACTGCTGAGAGTCTACCACTGGCTGCTATAAGCACGCAGCATTAAAATGGAGCAGCTTGTAATGCTTATTTTAATAACAGTTGGCTTCACACAAACAGCAATATGCAAGAAGGGAAAAAACAAACTAAAAACAAGCTTTTCATTTCACCCTTTCTGGAATGAGAAATTTTGCTGACTTACTTCCAAAGGTGAAGATAAAAAAAAACATTTTCTGTCAACAGGGGATAGAATATTTGCAGTGACACTTCTCTGCAGCCACGGGCTGGCATGTGTGTCTATAGGGGACGTGCTCAGTCATGACCGGGAGAGGTCACCCGAGGGGCAGCCTGCAGACGGGCCGGAAGAGGCTGACTAAGCCGGGGACATGCTATGATCGGATTAAAGTGAGACCACAAACCAGGGCACAAAATAAACCAGGACTAACAATAAAAGTCTCAGTCTCTGAAATTAGACACAAAACTGATACTTACATTCAACTATAGAAATAAACACTCTGGCAATGAATCAGAAAAATAATAACAAATACATAAATAATACATGTAGTTTGAGGCCTAAGACAGACATGCTAGGCATAGGGAGTGTGATATGTTAAGCGGAAGCGGCTGCTAGGCCTAGGGAGTGTGATGTGTTAGGCTGAGGGGGCTGCTAGGCCTAGGGAGTGTGATGTGTTAGGCTGAGGGGGCTGCTAGGCCTAGGGAGTGTGATGTGTTAGGCTGAGGGGGCTGCTAGGCCTAGGGAGTGTGATGCATTAGGTGGAGGGGGCTGCTAGGTATAGGGAGTGTTTGCATATTCCAAATCCATCAATTGTTCCTATCAGTAACCATATGGACAGCAATTTTCTGAAAGGTGAAATGGGCGGTTATTTTTTCTCAAAAAGTGCAAAAAATCCAAATACAAACCAAATGTATACAAAACCAACTGAATACTTAAATTCACCAGATGAAATGTAAGCTTGAACTTAAATGATTTGGCGTCTCCATCTCATCTATTGCTACATAATTATGCCAGTGTAAGCGACACTAACATGAACCTGAGCTGAACGCTTACACTTTATTTGCCCTTGTAAGATGGCATATGTGTCATTATATCCACGCTGGTCACAAACTCAACAGTGGTTCTCAGTCTAACAATTTCAGATGCTGCCACCTTGTGGATGACTTACACACGGCAAAGAATGACTCTCCAGTCAAGGACTGCAAATATCAGAGAATGAAAAATCGGCCAAAGCAAAACTAAGATTAAGACGTCCAATAAACGGAAACCTGGAGATGATGGAATACATCCATAAATCAAGGGAAACCCTTAAAAAATGCAGGGTGGGGGAGAAGATACAACAAAACATGGATCTTTTCATACTTTTATCCCTTTATCAAAACAAATGGCACACAGATCACGAGAATGAAGACAGATGATGCCAGAGGAGCTTTGATGATGGGGAGGTGTGTTCATCACCAAGGGGGTCCCATGGACTCAGCTCGCAGGTTACAACACCCCTCCCGTTTTTTCCCGTCTTCAATCGCTCTTCTTCCTCCACACCACCCTCCACTCATCCCAGTCGAGGAGCGTGCGGTCTGTCTGCCAGCCGGCCTTCCGCAGGCCTGAAAGACAGAGGCCCCCCATGCTAACATGGCTAATGCTAACAGCGACTGCCAGGACACGCCAGTCTGCTGTAGAATCAAAGACACTGACTGCCGAATGCCCAACTCACACCTAAGGAAGCTTAATGCCCTTCATCTGGAGCACTTTGGGGAAGGGCATTAATCAGACTGCACGTGACTGGAGACGAGAGGACGTCAGAAGGTTGCGGGCCATTGGTTAGCTGTCTGCTCTTCACTGTACGGTTTAATCAGTCACTTTCATATTGATCTCCCTCCTCAGCTTTTCCCTTTTCCCAATAGTCACTGCAGTTCAGTCAAACAGTTGTATTGCATTTGGGTCTTTGGGAAAGAACAGCACCTCATCCCCCCCCCACCAACACAGAGAGGATTCAGGAACTTTATTGCAAGGAATTGATAAAAATGAGCTGACAAACTATATCCTCAGGGAAGCAATATCTAGTGTTGAAAACAATATTCTGTTTGGACGGAGCTATACAGAGGAACCTACCATTAAGGAAGAGTGGAAACATCTGGTCAATGATTTTGTGACTCTCAGAGACCATTTCCCAGGGGTCTAAACAGGAGAGACAGTGATGAGTAAAGGGATGATTGAAAATTAAAATAAATTACATTCCACAACTTACTTTGTGTCTGAGTGGCTGAAAGTGCCTTTAGAGCTCCCTCTGGTGGACACATTTGGCACAGCATCATGCTGAGGCATAACGCCTGGCTGGCAGCCTTGATTTCCACGCCTGCTGATGTGTCTGAGCCCCGGCACACTAGCACACGACCTCGAAAGCATTATGGGATCACGTTAACAGAGCAGACCTTTAAAGGCTGGGTGCTGATCTCAAACAGCTCAGCCAGTCAAAACAAAAGTTGGTTTCTACTAACCATCTCTCATTCCAATGAGGTATGCCTTACTGTTGTTTTTCAAAGCAAGACGAAGCTCATCAGGGCTACACAGCAAGGAGAAAAAAAAATACATTATAAAAACACAACAGTTGTACAACTGTGTTTCTCAGTGTTTCACTGTTAAATACAGACAAAAGGCAAAGCTGCTATGCAGTTTGTCCTGTGTTTACCACAGTGCTTGTTAACGTTTCCCCTAAAATGTGCACAAACCAGTTTGGGAATGGTTTGTTTAGCTTTGATTGTGAATCACATTCTTTCATTTTTCCTTTTAAGACACGGGTCTGGGAATGTTACCAACGCTGCAGCGGAAAGCAGGACATCAGGTACATTAGCAAGCTAAAGCCTGTTCGAGTCGTTAAACACGTTCCCTGAGGGGGCGGGGCAATGTCCAAGCTGGATGTCCAGGGAATTTGGCAGGAAAAGACACAGACAACAGGACAGGCAGGAGGGAAAACAGACAAAAAGGAGAGAAGAAAGGACACAGGGAAAACTGAACAGGAGAGAAGAGACAGGAAGAGAGAAAAGGCACAGGAAACACATGGAGCAGGGGAGAAGAGGCAGAAAAAGAAAAAAAAGAAAGGGACACAGGAAACACTGAGCAGGACAGAAAAGATAGAAGAAAGCAAATGACAAAGGAAACAGAATGAGCAGGAGAGCAGCGACAGGAAGAGAGGAAAGGACAACAGGAAACACTGAACAGAAGAGAAAAGACAGAGGAAGAAAGGAAAGGACAACAGGAAACACTGAACAGAAAAGATAGAGGAAGAAAGGAAAGGACAACAGGATGAGCAAGAGTGAAAAGAGACATAGGGAGAAACAGAAAAGGCAGAGAGAAAAAGAAAGAGGGACACAGGAAACACACTGGGCTGGAAAGAAAAGAGAGAAGAGAAGGCCGACAGACATACCTGGTGATAAGGTCCCCAAACTTTACACCAAATTTAATGGGGACTCTCCTTCTGAACTCTGGGGGGAAAACAGCTGGGAGATATTAAGACATATTCATTTTTAATAAGGCAGCAAGAAAAAAGTAAAACCATGTAAAAGACACACCAAGGAAGACCGGCTCTCTGCTATTGGCTTCTGACGGGCTGAGAATCCGACCATCATGCAGGTACTGGTGCAGCAGAATGGAAAGTCGGGCCTCATTCAGGGTTTCCATGACAATGGACCGGACTGCCTTGTAATTGGCCAGAAGGTGCAGGACCGTGAAGGAGAAGAAGAGGACAAAGGTCAACCTGGACAAGAGAGAGAACGGTGCTATTAATATGACAACACCAAGGCGATCAGTAGCAGTGGGCTGCTGATGGGTATATAGAGAGAGGTTTCAGCAGGAGGCGCTCACAGTGCATTGTTGGTAACAAGGGGAATGAGAACCAAGCTGACCAGCAGTCCAGCCAGATTTACCAGCGTCTCCTAAGAAAGAACACAGACATGAAAGATGACATGCTTAGAACAGAAATAACAAGGGAGAATGATGAACTGGATGAAGGCTTTCACTTCACGAGATGATAACATTACAGGTAATTGCATTAAGCCCCCAAATTATTACTTATAGAGAGGGAATAGCAGTAACAAGCAGCCTACGCTGACAGCGGGAAGCACATGAGGACAAGTGCAATGAGGAGATCCCTTTCGGCACAGACCATCTGCCTGGGGAGCATTTCAGCACCTGGCTGCCATCTTTGGCAGATACGTCGGCCATGTTGTCCCTGCGAGCCTGATGTAAGGTCAGAGCAGCTCTAGTGGCTCCACCTGCCACTCCAACAATGGACTAAGGGAGACATACATAAAACACACAGATGTATTACAATAAAAGTCCCACATATACAGTATATAACTAATCGAATCCCTTATGTACAATATGTAATTAATGAAGTCCCTTAAATACAGTATATAACTGAAGAACTCCCATATATATAGCATATAACCAGGGATTGACATAACTGGTACGCAAGTACGCATTCACCTTTAAAAGCGATACGCGTGACAATCGATTGTTGTAACAGCATGGATGCGTACGTTTTTTATGTGCATTTGCGCCGATATGACAAGAAATTATTGTGCATTTTAACCTTTATATCCTAATTCGTACTTCATTTGCGGTGTAGAGGTTAAAATGCATGGTAATTTCTTGACAGATCGGCACTAATGGAAATAAATTACGTACATATTTGCACTGTTACATTAATTGATTACCACATGAATGGCTTTTAAAGGTGAATGTGTACTTGCGTACCAGTTATGTCAATCCCTGCATATAACCAATGTACTCCTGTGTATATTGCACATAACAAAAGGAGTGCCTTACATAAAGCATATAATTAAAAGGGTCCCGTACATAAGCACATAATTAGAGTTCAATACATGTTTTGTAACTTACAACTAAAGGAGTCCCATAAATATAATACATAACTAAAGGAGTTCCGTGCATATAGTATATAACTAAAGTAGTTCAATAAATAGCATTTTAACCTTTAAAATTCCAGCAATGCAGACGATGAAAGTGAAGCATGCTGGGAAGCTGGGCGCCAAAATCTCCATGAACATGGCGATGTCATTGAGAACGTCGGCCACAAGCCTGAGAAGAGGCATCGGGAATGGCTGAATCCCCACCTTCCCAGCACCCTTCCAGGGACACTCTCCGAGCCTTACCTCCATTTCTTGGCATCGCAGTCCAGTTTGCTCCTGGGAAGGATGAGCACAAGGGCAGTAACACGTTAAAGATGACACGCAACTAAGAGACACGCAGATGTGGCTGATGGCGCCGTGCTCACCCTTTGACCCACGCAAACAGTATTCTGCCCAGCATCCCGGTGCCATCTGAGGGAACCAGCAGGTATACAAGTCAGAACCAAAGGCACCTTCCCTGTGACAGACTGCTCCCCTCAACACATGACCCATCATCATGAAAAGAACACAGAGGAACCGTTTAACAGACATACAGATATCACTTTCTGTTATGGTTAAAACCAATCATATAACCCAAAAAACTATGCAACAATTTAAATGTAAATGCAGTTATTCTGTAAAATGTACACAGTCGATAAAAATGTATGTTTTTTGTCTGAATTGGTGTGGGACCTAGGGGTGATTAATGAAACAAGTGTGCAAACTGAATGAAGCAATAATACTGCTAATTTATTACCACTGTAACACTCCAAACTAGTCACAGTGAACGTGAATATCTTATTAGTATGCTGATAGTATGCTGAAAGAAAGAAGGAGGCAGGACAGAAGTTCCAAACACACCTCTTAGTAACCAGGTAACAGTTGCCGCAGCAACTGTAGCCTCCTGATTGCCTACACCAACACCCCTTAGTGATGCTTGGGTGGATAGCGTGCCTGACAGGGAGCTGGAGAAAGCCTGTGTGCATGAGAGAGGAGAGGAAACAAGGAAGAACACACATTATCCTCACATGAACACCTACACGCTCAAAGAGCCTGAAATCAGGCATTGGGCACCTGAATATTAATGAGCATTAAGGGTTACCTGTATAGTATCCCAAAACTGATATTGCAGGTAGTCCCCACTGACACTGTCTGGATATCCTTGTGGTAAGAAGACACTCTTAAGTGCAAAGATAAACAGAAGGTTAATCAGGACAGCCTTGTTTAGAAACCAAGATTACACAGGAAAGTGTTCTATGTCATTCAGGTGTCAGACCCATATACGACATGTTTAACTGTCACTCCGGTGACTGATTAACAGATCTGAAGGAATTAACAGCTCAGTATAATTTGGAGTCTAATCAAAGTGCGAAGAAGCTTAACAACGGCTTGGTTAATGCTTCTGCTGATCTCGAGTGTGTTATTAGCTGGTGTCGGAAATTAGTTACATATTAAAAGAAACTTCAGTCGACAGCTACAGACTCACTTTAAAGAACCCAAGAAATGGCTTGGTGGCTCCCCCAGCATCCAGCCTTTCCCTCTTCAGCACTCCCTTATTTAATCGGTACGTCCACTCTTCCTGAGAGCCGTATCTTTCCGTCACTAATGCCGTTTCTTTTTTTTGATCCATACTTTCGACTCTACATTTATGCATACATGGAAATCGATTTGTAAATCAAACTACATAAAGCGACCGTTTTGTTTACTGATCAAATTTAAATGAGGATCGATTAATTAGCTGTATTGAGTACAAAAAATTAGCTTTATCTGTTAAACATCTGAATGCATTCGACAATTACGAGAATAAATAGATACATTAACACATGCTATAACTAACTTGTAGTTAATCATTTAAAATAATAACTTGGTTATTTACACACGCACATGTTCCTACCAAAACGTTTCCGTGTTTACCTCTTACAGCCACGTCAACGCGATAATGTTTCGTTTTTCTATTGGCTAGAAAATGTAAGGGCGGGATTAAATTCTGTACGGTCATTGGAGGAAAGAACAGTCAGAGCCTGTCTATCCATAGCCATTCCCGAGTTAATCGCTATTAAAAAAAAAAAAAAAAAAAAAACTCGCTGCCTTCATAAATGATCATAATGCAAGAACGGGGGAATATGAAAAAGGAAAAAATAGTCGAGTGAACGAAAGTTGAGTTTTTATTAGCAGCAGTATAAATCAGTATACGTTCATATTCTAAACACTTGTCCTCGTTCCTTGTCAGGGTCATAAGGTGGTCTGGAGCCTATCCCAGTCAGCACAGGGTACAAAGCTCAAGTGCACCTTCAGGGGGAGGGACTTCAGGCTTCCCCCTCCTGGATAAACTACCATAAGCAAAAGTACATAATTATTCTTTGGTTTTCATGTAACCCTTTGTTCTCTCCCATGAGACATACACATACACACCAATCTTGTTACAATGGCACAAGTGAATAGACAGTTCTTGAAGCTGAAGTGTTGGAAGCAGGAAAAATGGGCAAGCGTAAGGATCTGAGCAACTCTGACAAGGACCAAACTGTGATAGCTAGACGACTTGGTCAGAGCATCTCCAAAACGGCAGATGTTGTGGGGTGCTCCCAGTATGTGGTGGTCAGTACCTACCAAAAGTGGTCCAAGGAAGGCCAATCAGTGAACCAGTAACTATGTCATGGGTGCCCAAGGCTCATGGATGCTCATGGGGGGTGAAGGCTAGCCTGTCTGGTCCGGCCCTACAGGAGAACTACTACACAAATTGCTGAAAAAGTTAATGCTGGCTGTGATAGAAAAGTGTCAGAACACACAGTGCATCACAGCTTGCTGTGTATGGGGCTGCGTAGCCACAGACCGGTCAGAGCGCCCATGCTGACCCCTGTCCACTGCGGAAGGCGCCTACAATGGGCACGTGAGCATCAGAACTGGACCGTGGAGGAATGTACTGTAAGAGGATGGCCTGGTCTGAGTCATGTTTTCTGTTAAATCATGTGGCGGGCTCTATGTGCTTTATTTACCTGGGGAAGAGATGGCACCAGGGTGCACTATGGGAAGAAGGCAAACCAGCAGAAGCAGTGTGATGCTTCTGGGAAACCTTGGGTCCTGGCATTCACCTGGATATTACTTTGGCACACACCACCTACCTAAACATTGTTGCAAACCAAGTACACCCCTTCTTGGCAACGGTATTCAAGGATGGCAGTGGCTTCTTTCAGCAGGATAATGTGGCCTGCCACACTGCAAAAATTATTCAGGAATGGTTTCAGGAACATGAAATGAGTTCAAGGTGTTGACTTGGCCTCCAAATTTCCCAGATCTCAATCTGATCGAGCATCTGAGGGATGTGCCGGACAAACAAGTTTGATCCATGGATGCCCCACCTCTCAACTTACAGGACATAAAGGATCTGCTGCTAACGTCTTGGTGCCAGATACCACAGGTTATTTTCAGTGGTCTTGTAGACTTCATGCCTCAATGGATCAAGGCTGTTTTGGTGGCACAAGGGGGACCTACACCATATTAGGCAGGTGGTCTCAATGTTAAGGCTGATCGGTGTATACAAGTGAGAGCAAAACAAGTGGGTAAGAGCGCAGGCCTGGCTATTTATCCAGCAGCCCTACTGCAGATTTTAGGGTTAAGGGTCTTGCTCATGGGCCTGATGATGATGTAATCTTTCTGCTGGCCAAGGGATTCAAACTAATGACCTTCCAGTCTCAGGCACAGTCCCCTAACCCACAGAGCTGCACACCACCTAGACTTTGACTTGGCCTGGGAGTATGGATGGCCGTACCAAAGTGTCCTACAGAACAACTTATTCAATTATTTTTCAAAACAAGTCCCTGTATTTATTTTGCACTGCAAAAATCATCAGAGATTCTAAGGAACCGAACTCATAGGATAACACATCAAATATATCAGTAATATACGGTAATAGTGACGTTACGGCTGTATCAGTTATTGATTGCTTCATTCAGGGGTGGCCAATCTTATCCGCAAAGGGCTGGTGTGTATGCAGGTTTTTTGGATAACCTGTAGGTCAGCTGTTCAAACCCAGGTGTGAGGACTCTTCAGCCAATCAGTCCTCTAATTAGTAATCTTAGGGAGTTGCAGCAAAAACCCACATTCACACCGGCCCTTTGCGGATAAGATTGGCCACCCCTGGCTTCATTCATTGTTGGTCAATTTCCTGATTTTCCACTTCTTTCATTGCTTGATACTGACAAGGACCACGGTTGTTTTATAAAGCTAATTTTTGGCAGGAGTTAAGAGGAGGTAGAGATTTGTCAGTATTATATTCCATTGTTTTTTTTTATGTAGAGAATATTTTCCCTACTCAGTCCTCAGAGACCCACAGACGGTCTACGTTTTTGCTCCCTCCCAGCTCCCTGCCAGACAGACCACATTATTGCAGAGAGCAAAAACATGGACTGTATGTGGGTTCCTGAGGACTAGATTCGGAAACACAGTCACCATGGATGAGGTAAGAAGACAAACATTCTATGAGTAAGTGTGTGAGTAAGAGAAGCGGGCCGGAACCGAAAACAGCCTGCCTGTGACGTTGCGCAAGACAACGAGAGAGAGAGAGAGAGAGAGAGAGAGAGAGAACCCACAATGGAAATAAACAGAGGATGTATTTACTGTAAGACACCCCAATACAGAAATAAATGGTTGCAATGACAACAAAGTAAAGTTTTACTTCACTAAAGTCATAGTGCAATGGCCCAATGAATAACAGACTTGTAACTACACTTGAAAATACTTTTACATAATTCTGATGGGAAGGGCTTGTTTCAGCATGAGGGGGGCAAAAATACCACAGCTTAAAGAGGAAGGTTATGGCTACAAATGGGGGTGGAGCAAAAGCAAAGAGAAAGAAAGGGGTGTGGAGCTATACTGTAAGCCAGAAACACTCCCACATTCATTCTTACACTCTAAGCACATACCAAGAGCTCATTCCGGGTTTTCCCGCACCGTCGAAGAGGGGACACACCAGAAACTGCTTGGTCTCGCACAGAATTTGTTTCATTCATCGTAGCTGAGAACCACTGAAAGATTTTGTTGACGTAGACAAAAGGAAACTGAATCTGGATTTATACAACACTGTCACACTTGTGGATTTAGATTTCTGATACTTAGGATATTGCCTCTGTGCGGCGTGTGGAATTTGCCGGTCATGTCTGGACGAGTGAGTGTGTAAGTATACCTGTGTCTGTCTGGTATGGCAGTGATACCAGATACCCCGTATTGAAGTTTGTTGGTGCTCCGGCTGGTGTCCTATCTTTGTGCTGTGTTCGCACAACAATACCGATGCACCGTAGTGTGTGACCGCAGGACAGCATTTAAAACGAGCTGCCTGATTTGTCACTTTCAGCTGGAAGTTTCTCATGTCCTTGTTGTCACGTAGCCACTGATAGAAATGCAAGAATGCATGTTTCTTAACTTGATCATTTCCTCTTTGTGTTTTTTTTTTTGCCGGGTTTATTTTAGTGTTTCAAAAATTCAGCAAAGAAGCAAAAACAGAAGTGATATCAGGGACATGCTGATTTCAGGTTCCCCTCCCGTTTCCCAGGTTCACTCACACCGTTAGCCGCCTGTTGTGACCACTGCGGTCCTCCTCAGTTTCAAGGTGCCACACGCTTTTGAGGTGAAAGCCTGAAGCCTCAAGTTCACAGGAAACGGTGAGCACATCTGCTACATTTCAACACGATGAAAAAACTTCTGATCAAGCAGCTGCTTGCCATGTGTTTCAGCTCGGACAGCTAGTTCTCCCCCATCCTCACCCCCGGCCCCTACATAGTTATATCCAGCAGTGTTAGTGCCGCTTTGAGGTGCAGAAACCGAGTGCTGGAGGAAATTGAGGGTGTTTACATCCTGTGGTTTCAGCACCCAAGCCGCTGCGATAGAGGGGAGGCTGCGATACCCAAGCAGCACTTGCCATCTTTAGATAAGTTAACAAACAGGCTCTCCTTACAGACAACAGCAACATAGGGGTGCCTGAGGGCGGGTAGTTCTGTGTCAATCAGTGGCAGCTGCCCCAGCCCGTCCGTATACCTGTTTTACAGGCTCATATCATTACATGGTATACATCTGTGCACTGGAAAATTACAGTGCTGGGTTGCCAGGCATCCACAGCGCGTCACCTTTAGTGAAACCTGCCTGGCCCGTCTCCCTCACCCCAAACCCATTTCACACCGCAGCCCGTCTCCCTCACCTCATACTGCGGCCCTTCTGTCATGTCACAGTGATGTTGAGCTTTTATCCATCTCTATCCACATCTTTCATTTCCCTCATCTTTTTCCTTGTGCCCAGTACTACTGATCCTAAACTTCACATCTCACCCCCACCGCTCCTCTCCTCTCCAGCTTCGTCATCAGCCACATACAGCACTCCTATGTCTGACGGCCCCGTGATGGGAGAGGCTATCCCCTTGCAGACAGTACCCATCCAGAAGTCGGAAGGAAAGAGGCCCAGCAGACGGATCAAGCTTTACAGGAAGCTGGCTGTCTGCAGCATTATCTGTGGGATATCTTGCTTGGGCATTCTGGCTCTGATCAACTCTGTCAGAGTAAGTGTAGCATACACCAGATTGGAAGCTCTGCCTGAGAGTTTCCCTCTGATCTTACTGATGTCTCTCTCTCTCTCCTCCCCCAAAGGCACAGGAGAAGAGGGACACAGATGTGGAGAGCGCTCAGAAGTTTTCCCGTCAGGCACGGAAATATAGCGTCATCGCCATCGTGGTGTGGGTGGGGATCCTGGTTCTCACCCCGGTCATGATGGCCTTGGTATCATACCTGCTGCGTATTGCAGAGTGACTCAGTTTACAGCTTAGTCCACGTTCCAGACGGGCCGCTTTTGTCCAACTGGGCGTGGAAATCCAGTTCCTATGGCCATGACTCCTGCCTGCCTTCTAGTAACAGTATAACAGGTCAGACATGGTGCCTATGACGACTGCCGGCAGCCAGGCAAATCCCATTCATACACTGATTAATTTTTGGATGACAGAGCCATTAAAAAGCATTAACTTAAGAATGACACTAAACAATGCTCGGGAATTTTGGTTTAATGATCAGGTCCTGTGTAGGCTCAAGAAAAGCATCACGTGGCTAGTATCTTAGTAGAAAATTAATCTTTTTGCGACTATTTGGCATTAAGTGTTACTCATATCTTAAATTATATAATGTTTCTTGGGTTAGTCTGACTTAATTTATGTTATGGAGAAGAAATTGTTACACTGTCAATTTTAACTTGTTACATTTTTTGAATTTCAGATTTTATTTACTTTTATTTACTATAAAATGTTTTATAATAAAATTTGACATACCAAATTCAGACCTAGTCATTTTGAAAGTATTAAGTACAGTAACAATACACTTATACTAGCTGCTACAATTTAAATAATACAAACATGCCATAAAAACATTTATTCAGTAGAAAAAAGAAACATTTATATATATCTATATATATAGATCAGTATGATGAAAGCCTCAAGCTAACATGTATGACTATGTTCTATGTATGAAAAAGATAACATTTATAATATACAATGCAGACACCACTATAAAAACTCCTCAATGGTGGTCATTCACAAACAGCATAACTTTCCAGCGCCTACTGCGTGTGGTAAAGCTCCACCCTTCTCCTTTACCTGCTGCAGGGAGCCGTTTCTAACAAAGTAAAATACAGTAGCGATACTGCCAATGAGCAGACCAGGCCAGCGAGCTACAATAATCCAGGGGGGATAAGGTCAGGTGAAGAAAGTAAAAATCCAGACCAAGATTTTGTTCCAACCAACCAGTTGGTTGTGGCTGTGACTCTTTATAGTGAACTGGTTGGTTGAAGCAAAATCTTGGTCTGGATTTTTACTTTCCAGACTTGAACTATGCACCCCTGCCATAAACACAAAAATGATGCTGCCGTGGTGAGGACGCCAAGGGCCTTGCCACGCACCAGAACTCGAGCTCCAGCCCCGGGACACGCCATCCAGATGGACAGATAAACCTAACTTACTAATGCCTGCTATGCGTACAACACGGATATGAAAGAGAACAGATCCACAGGATAGGGCCCCTTCAGAACACAGCTGGGGGGCGGGGTTTAGTACATAGACGAGAAGCCTGACGCTGGACAGGAGAAAAATGGTGGCACTTGGACACAAAAACAATACAATAAATACAAAATGTATGAATAACTGCCTTTATAACAACAAAAAAGGTCCATGCATGACCAGTCCATATAAGATGCCCTTTTTTTTTAAATCTAGGACGGATGGGGAATGACCCCAATAGATATCCAAGCTGCCTTATAATTTACCAGTAGTTACAGCTCAGGCCAGCACACCTTCGTCGAAGGCAAGCCAGCTGTCTAGTTGAGTGAGTTTGGCACACAGGACCGAATCAAGTTCCTCTGAGGAGAGGGCGGGGCTTTCTCTGCCCCTAGCTCCTCCCCCTCGGCGAGTCCTACCCACGGCAGGCTTCCCACAAGACCCAACCAGAGGTTTCTTGGACTTCCTAGCCACGCCCAATTCGGGGAAATCTACCAATCGCTTGAAACGGCGCTGACTAATCAGGGACAAGGATCCATCACGACAGCTGACCGGTACTTCAAATATCGTCTCTAGACGGCTGTGGGAAAGGGGACAGAGAGAAGAGAAATGTACAAGCATCACAATACAGATCACATTCCTCACTGTAGCAAAAGAAGACTGGAGGAAGATCCTCACCCCTCTGGTGGTTTCTGGAAGTTCTTGTTGGTGTAGATCTCCTCCAAGCTGAACTCCTTCTTCTTCAACCTATAAACAATCACAAGAATCAAGCTTTGAGCAGCTATTTGACTTCGGCATTTACCTCTTAGCTTTCCTTTAAAAAGGCTTGTTACCCACAATGACCAGGGACACACTGACGCATGAAAACCAGCGTCATTATCTAGAACCTCCTTTCATTTCATGCTAAACAAACACATTGGGTGATTAAACGCTGAGTCCACAAATAAGTTCAAACACATTGAAGCCTGAAAGGATATCCCTTTCCACACACCCACACATCCATCAACCTTCCATTTATCTTGGTCAGGGTCACTAGTGGGTGTGGAGCATGTTCCACACAATCATTCACTATTTTAAGGGACACCAATCAGTGAACCACAGGCCTGTGGAGGAACCGGAGAAAATGCACAGACAGAGCAGAGATGTGGTTCAAACCACCAGCCCTAATGGTGTGAAGCGACAGTGCTTCACCTGCGGGGTCACCGTGCCCCCCTCCCCCTAGACATCACATGGTTGTGATTGCATAAACTAAAGTGAAAATAAAATAAGGGGGGGGGGGGGCTTTTGGAAAAACATGAACATAAAAACACAAACAAAAAAAAGAAAAACAAAAAAACAGACCAAGTCACCAGACCAAGCCCAAGCTAAAGAAGGTTAACAAGCTGATTGTGACAAGTGGGTGTAGAACTGCAGACTATACATGAGAGAAGGCCCCGAGCCACAGGAGGACAGCGGTCCCCGTCTGAGGACTGCGCCCTGTCCCTCCTCACCTGATTGGCTTGGGCAGGCCCATCGGTGTTAGGTTGGCGGGGGGCTTAGGGACGGCCCTGCGGATCCTGATGCGTGACACCTTTCCATGATCACCTCGTTTGACAGAGCCCACCTGCTGGGATAGGGGACAGTACTGGGGTCAGGGGCTGGGGTCACACCACAGGGGAGAGCACTGACCTTTCAAAACAACTCCAGTACCTCATACGGTCCTTGAGTATATCCCAGAATGCACAGGGTGCCAGGCTGGGGACACTAAGGGAAATTCATAGACACCGATTTCATACGATTTTGGCCAGAGTTCAGGGAGAAAATGCACACAAATATGCCAAGAACACACAAACGCAGCACAGGCAGAACCAGGCACAGGATCAACCCCAGAGCTACCCACTGAGCCGGAAACGAAGGGGAACAATTTCAACATGGCCACTAGATGCCAGCATTGAAGCAGATATTCAAATGTGCACCTGATTCTCAACATTTTACTGAAGAAATGAGAAACTGATCAAACTAGAAATGCTGCTTGCGGAATGACAACAATGTGTTCCCTGGATAGCCGTCACCCACCCCCCCAGCCCCCATATAATCCTTACTCCTCCCACACCCCCCAACCTCAATTTCTGGAATCAACTGGTTAGAAATGTAAAAGCCAATAAATGAGTTTTTACCCAAATATCCTAGTTGCGAGACATAACTTGAAAACTACAGCTATTCATTTGTTGTACATTCCACTTACATGCCGAATCAGCAGAAACTTTCCCCACCAATCATGTAGTTACCTGTATTTGTCCACGTTTTGCAATGCTATTTATACAATTAGTATTCCACATATGTCTATTCTGCTCCTCCTTCCCACAATGGTAAAGAAGCTGACAATAAAAGACATGTGTTCCCTGGACGAACCCCCCCTGCCCCTCTTCAATCACACACACACACACACTTCAAATGTTCGTATTATTCATTTCTATGGGCATAACCCTAATCCGAACTATGACAACCTTAACTTCTACCCAGCCCTAATCTTAGCCATAAGTAAACAGAACACATGATTTTTGGCTATATTCATTTTTTAATTGCAGACAAAGATTTTCATAAAATTGAGGTTTATACTGTGGAGACCCGAAAAATGTCCCCACAAGGTAAAAAGGTACAGATTTACACTACATTTCGGGGAAATTTGGTCCCCACAATATAATAATTACAACACACACACACACACATACACACTCACTTTGGACAATACCGCAGTCCAACAAAAATATTACTCCACTATGCCCAAAGCTACCTGGCACCTCTCTAAAATCCTTAAAGCCCAAGTTTAATTAAATTCCCCCACAAAACATTTCACCAACTGGCTACAGATACATTCTGCTGAATGGGGGTCTGGCAATTGGGGGGGGGGGGGGG